TGATGCTCTTTTAAGATCTTGATTAAAAAAAATAAAATTTCAACCAGTATACAATTATTATACTTTTACAGGTCCATTAGGTCGTGATAGAAAACAATTACAAAAGATTGAAAATTTTGGGATTTTTTAAATTTTGAAATTTTCAAAATTTAAGTTATTTTTCTGTTTTTAACATTTAAAACCTTTTTTAAAAATGAATATTTTGAAAGTTAAATATTTTAAAAAATGTTCTATTCGTTTAAACCCAAGGGGTCAACCACCCAAAGGGAAAACGTCCAGGGATTCCCATGTATTCCCATTATATTTTATTGTATTCCTATGTATTTCCATTGTATTCCTATGGTATTCCCACTCTAAAATGTCCAGGGATTCCCAGGTGTGGGTGACCACTCGTTTAAACCCTTTTGTTAGATATCCATATCAAGGAGGTTTTTAAGAAATAGGCAATCCATCTTATGGCGGACGCCATATTGGATTGATTTTATTTCTCTCTCTATCTTTCTCTTACTTATGCACAACCACTTACTTCTTATGCCAATAAACATTTTTGTTTTTATAGTGGTTTCCATAAATGTTATATCATTCAAATTATAAAACCTAAATTTCTTATTTTGGTTAAAGAAATATTTATATCACTCTTATATACCCCTTAAAGAGCTTATTTGGAGAGTTTATGAAGGTTAACGGTACCTATTTTATTAACACTATAAAACCCAAGTTTTATAACAGGAATATTATGGAAACCACTCTATAACTTCCTAAAGAACTGCTACCGGCTTTTTTCCTTCTTTTAATATTTCTCCCTCCCTCAGGCACATTTAAAATATAAACTCCTGGACAAAATTAACGCAACATCAAAAAATTTGCCACATTTTTTATGCTATTTTTTTGTTGAATTTATGATCCGATTTGAATGATTTTTGTTTTGCATTGTAGGTTGGTTACTTGACAATGTCATAATTTTCGCTGTTTATGATAAAAAGTTCATTTTGGATTTATACCGGGTGTAATAAAAATGTACTGTTTTTTTCCGAAAATTCGTATCACCCTGTGGAGTATACTAGCAACCGAAACCTATAGCAGTTAACATTAGACGGTAGGTCCATATTTCGCCAACATATTCTTTTTTGGTTTACTTCATTATCTCTGTTATTAAAGGAGATACGCTGTTTTATAGCGTAACATGTTTTTATAGACTTTATTATTCAAAACATTAATTGTTAAATGTTTTCAAGTAGGCTATGGAAAATTCGCCATACTTATAACAACTGTTCGAAAACTGCTTATTAAATGTTCGTTTCGTATTTTAATCTTGAAAAATGAATCGTCCAAAAAATTTTTCGACAGAAGAAGCAGTAAGAGACTTAACTTTGGTGAATGAGGGCTATTCGATGTCATGTTGCTAATGTGATAGGAAGACATCGTTCGACTATAAGTCGTATGGTTAAACGATTTAACGAGACAGGATCTTACTCTTCAAGGTCAGGACAAGGGCGAAAACGATGTACCGATCCAAGGGATGAGCGTTTTATTAGGCAAACTGCTCTAGAAACAGGAAGATTACTAGTACAAGGCTAAAAAGTGAGCTTAGAACTGCTCGCCATAATACAATATCGTCTCGAACAATCAGGAGACGTTTAAATGAGGCAGGAGAAGACCGGCAAAGAAACAATTACTTAAGTAATTGTTTCTTTGCCGGTCTTCTCCTTAATTACCATAGAGCACAGAGTTTCAAGATTGCGTTTTGCCAGAAATTATCATCATTGGACTGTTAATGATTGGAAGAATGTTTTATTTTCTGATGAAACGAGAGTCACTCCTGATGGTGTGAACGTGTTTGGGGAAGGTCAGGAGAGAGATTTGCAAGTGGCAATATCTCTCCTAAAATCCCGTTTGGTGAAGGCTCAGTAATGATTTGGGGAGGAATATGCTTCAACGGACGCACAGAGTTAGTCCCTATACGTGTAAGATCAATGAACGCCGATTATTATCTAGAAAACATGTAATGCCATTTGTTCCTTTTTTGGGACCTAATAGTTTATTTATGCAGGATTATGCATTTATCAAAGCGAGCAGAAATTATACAATTATGCAGATAACAAATAATCTAAACATCTCTTGAAATGTCAGAAAAGGTCCATAGCCTACTTGAAAACATTTAACAATGATTGTTTTGAATAATAAAGTCTATAAAAACATGTTACGGTATAAAACGGCGTATCTCCTTTAATAACAGAGATAATAAAGTAAACCAAAAAAGAAAATGTTGGCGAAAGATGAACCTACCGTCTAATGTCAACTGCTATATGTTTCGGTTGCTAGTATACTCCACAGGGTGATACGAATTTTCGGAAAAAAACATTACATTTTTATTACACCCGGTATAAATTGAAAATGAACTTTTTATCATAAACAGCGAAAATTATGACATTGTCAAGGAACCAACCTACAATGCAAAAAAAAAATCATTCAAATCGGATCATAAATTCAACAAAAAAATAGCATAAAAAATGTGGCAAATTTTTTGATGTTGCGTTAATTTTGTCCAGGAGTTTATATATTTCTTCATAGGTACGCTATCTTTCTTATTGTCATCTTATTCATTAACTTGTTTAAAAACTAAATTTAGTTTATATAGATATATATTTATATAGATGTATATTTTGTGAAGCCAAGTATGGCGAAAATATTAATGGTATATAATTTAAATCTAAGATTTTTTACTCAATATGAATTAAAGTACAAATTCTGCTCTTGACGCTTGAAGTGTAAGCATATGCTCATCGATCTCTCTTAAGCAGCGTATACGATACAAATGTAGTAACGTGATAACTGGTTAACGCCGTAAAATAATAAAAAATCAATCGATTCTAAACGTGATAACTGTCCCAAGTGCAAAAAAGTGCAAATTGTGTGTGGTACCTCCCCCATTGATTAAATCCTCAAGTGTTGGACCTGGTTAAAAGGTGTGAGAGAGACGACACTTCCACGAAATTTACTGGACTCAAGCTAAGTTATTTTTTCCAATTGCATGTCTTACCGTATATTCGCTAAATGTTTATAAAAGCATTTCACAATGTTTATGTAAGCATTTCACAATGTTGCAAAAAGAAAATACTAAGAATTCTTTTATTGTCTCAAAAACTAAATTAAAAAAGAATAAGAACATTTCCTTAAGTTTAAACAAACAACCTCATTTTCTCATAGCAGACAAATCATAAACAACCATCGAAAAAGGCGTAAGATAAATAAATAAATAAACTAAATATGCAAGAAGACAAAAAACATAAACAAGTTGAGTGTGAATAGCAGTATTGCCAGATGTAAAAGTTGAAATTAACGAATTGGGTAAATAAAATTATCGAATTTTCGGAATTAAGTTACAATAATTGTAATAATTATGTAACAATAATTATTATAATTTAATCATAAAAAAAAAAGTAAAAGAGAAAGAAGCGAACTTTTAAAAAATTATAAAATTTGTAAAAGTAAAAAAAAATACCCCCACTGGGAACTGCCTTATCGCAGTGATTGCGGCCTTACGCTCGGCACGAGTGATGGGCTCCTCCGCGGGGGGGGTGCAGCCTCCCGTGGCCTATACGGGGGATGGTCTACACGGCGGTAGTCGTAGCACGATTGCCGTTGTGTGGATTGTCTTCCGGGGGGGCCGCGGGGGGTTGTATTTCTTTGCGGGGGAGTTTATCATGTGTGCCGATTATCGTACCAATGGGAAAAACCATTACCAAAAGGGTAAGAGTAGCCCAATTAAACACTGGGTCCACGTCACTCGTAGACAACGCAACAAACTACAAGCCACCCTTAAACTAGATCTTAAAGACAAAAAAAATCGGTAGACCATGCTTCACATTTCATGACACGTAGCACAATACATGCACTTCTCACAAAGTAACAAGACCAGTTGGGAGCAACTAAACAACAATAAAAATAAAATAAAAAAAAAAAAAAACAACCGACACACTTTACCAAGTTCAGGAACTATCCGACACGGATAATGACAATAATGAACAAGACGAAGACCTCGACTAGGAAACTACACCCCTGCAGCGTAATAACAACTCCCCAACTCCAAATAGTAATCCCAAATGTTTGGAGTAATACTAACCGACTGGTCTAGGGGGATTCCGCGTCGTACTTAGTTTTAAGTCGGCGTAATTGTCCCCCAAAAACCAACTCCCTCCCGTCCCTCATCCATACCTCACTGAGCGTATAGCATAGGCCCGGCGAACCCGGGAACGGCTATTATAACTATTCGCCTCTCGCTCTCGAGCCCCAAATAGGGGACAGTACAGAACGCAATGGACATTCGCACCCAGCAAACACGGGTGAAGCCGTGCAGTTGCTGGGGAAGAACAAAAATCGGCGTAAGTAAACATAGGCCTGTACGGGGTTTAAGAGTCAAGAGGAAATGGGGCTGGTTATACGTCTCTTATACTCATACTCATACTCATACTCAATATGAATTAAAGTACAAATTAATTTTTATCCTAAATATGTGCACAATACTTTCAAAAACAGCAGGAGACATTAAAATACCAAAACATAAATATTTTGTATACTATTAAAATAAATAAATATATTTTTTTAATACATTAGGATCTCTCTTTTATTAATTATTTAACCTAATTATATACCTAAAGTTTACAGTATCCGTAACTAAATGGCGATTTTATAAAACCTTGTTAAACTCTTATATAATTTGACAACCCTTATATATAATCTTTATATAATTTATCGTTACCATAAATAGAACAATTTGTTTATTGGGTAACCCAATTTGGGTTGCCATATGATCCTTTCTAATCCCACTCATATCGATTTTCTGTGACGTCACACGCACACACTGACATATTGCAGATCCATAACATAGGTGTTTACACATCAAAGTATGTTAAATGTAAAACTCATATGAAAAGTATCTCTCCTAATGAACTAACAATATATCTTAGGAGAAGCATTAACCGTATTATATTTTTGTTTAGGCCCCGTACATAATCTACATTGAAGTCGTCGAGGTGGACGACATCTATAGTAGCCCAGTGCCAACGAAAATAATGCCAACCTTGAGGCACACAAAATCGGAGGAGAACCTCGGCGGACACGACAGCACGTCGTTGTCAGCTTTTAGCGTTTGTGGAGGGTGTTATGACGATAACGACCCTGATTGGAGTCAGGAGGATGACGAGATATCACAACAGGTATGTTAAAAGAACAAGACAAAACATTGGTGTTTATGTAAATAATGACTTTTTATTCTGAACCCACATTATGCAACTTTTATATTAACATTTTTTTTTTAATAATTTATATTTATGAGATTTTTTGACCTAATTAGTCCCTTAATTAACTTAAATTATTTGTTCCTACAAAGAGTTACGAAAAATTTACCGACAGCTTGTGATTTGTACCAAATTGCTCATGCATAAACATCGGTCGCAAATGGATTGAATTTTAACTGAAAAGTAGTTTAAAAGGCATTGAAAGGGAAGATGAAGAATAAAAAATACCAATAAAATTTAGTTGTAACATAATTTCTTGTATCACTGCTTTCAGAAATATCCCTCATAGTAACAAATGTATACAATATTGGCCACGTAAATTGACAACGAATTTAATTTAATTTTAGAATATACTTATTTTGCTATTAACACCAAAACAACAATACACAAAAAGTGTTTGTCAAAAACCTTTTAGGCATTGACTTTTTAACTTTTTATTTGTTGAACTAGGGTGGAGCGAAATATGAATATTTTTAAAATTGAAAAGGCCTGTATATAGAAAAAAAAATATTTTGGTGAAAAAAAAATCTTTTTTTAATCTCTTCCACCGCCCCAGAGCTATCCTAAATATAAAAATCATAAAATTCAGACGAGGGCAGAAAACCTGAAAATTTCATAAAATGTCAATATAAACGCTTTATATCTCAGCAAATATCAATCTTAGCGATTCAACTGATAAGACTTTTTTTAAAGAAAATTAAATTTTCTACAAATATCTTCAAAAATATGAGAATTTTTCACTAAAATAAGATTTAGTGACCCGTACCATCCTACAGGTGCAGATTACAGCTATGGCACATAAAGCATTTGTGTGGAATATTTTATTGTTTCGACCTTTACTTGATGAAACTCCATGTCACTAATATACTGGATAAAAAACAAACACTGTTTTTGAGTTTCACGACTTTATTTAAATTTTATTTGACCACTGTTTCGATAACACTGTAGCTTCTTCAGAAATATTTATTATATTACGAACTATTAGTTTACTTAAAAGTTTACACTTATTTTTAACAGTTCAGGACAGCTGACGACGGCTAAATTATTATTATTATTCTGTGCCCATGTTTAAAACAGGCTAATTTAGGATCGTTTAAAATTTGTGGTACATTTTATTGAAAATTGGTACATATCTCATGTTGACTTTGGTACAATGTAGTGGTAGTGTAGTGATGCAGATATTCGGATGATTTTGATATTCGAATTATCCGGAATCGGAATATTTCAATATTCGGATTAATCATACTATTCCAAATTCAAATTTTTTAATTTCGAGTAAGCCAGTAGTAGAGATGTTAAGGATTAGGTTAAAACTATTAAGAATACAAAGTAGTATTGAGTATTTACCACAGACCACCAAAACAAATGGACGGCGCATTGCCATTCAATAACAATGCTTTGTTTGCAGTCAACAAACGGTCACAGTCTAAGCGTCAAATTGGAGATAGAATTTTATGTTTTCTTCCAGTGACGTCAACAAACGGTCACAGTCTAAGCGTTTAATTGGCGATATAATTTTATGTTTTCTTCCAGTGACGTATAGGGATTAAAAAAATAATAAGTAGGTAGGTACAAACGATATTTCCATGTATTGTTATTTTTAGTAAAAAATAATGTATTTAAACTCCATAATTAACTTAAACACGATAGAAATACACAAACGAAAACACAAAACAACAAGCTGTCATCCCACAGAACATAACCTTTTTCTATGCTGTCAAATATGACGAATTTACCAACGTTGTTAATAGTTAATTTTAATAATTATTAAATGATTATTTTTTCTTTAAATGGAGAAAAATATCTAAAGAAAATTATGAACAAATCCTTTTTACAATTTTTTTTATTATTCAAACGAATTACTGGTAATGTTCATTATGTTATGATGAACGTCCAAAAAGGCGTGTAATCTATACTTCTGACAACGTTGGAAGCCGTGTTTCTTTCGACGGTGTTTAGAATGTGAAACTATGCTTTACTCGCTTTTTAAACGTAAACAAATCCGTCCATTTGTTTTGGTGGTCTGTGGTATTTACATTTAGTTGCTCGTTGCCTAAATCAATGCGGTAATATGTGATATATTTGGATACCTACTCTTTTATTTATTGTTTTTTTCTGATAAAAAAAATAAAAAGATTACATCCATATTTCTTTTTTAGTTTATTTATTAGGCTCATCAGTAGCCATAATTTGATAATTAATTAATAATAAACGAAACGTACCGTACCTTATGATGCAATCCAGGAATAACGGAATATAAACTGAAATAACGCGGCAACCGGTAACGACGCCGATCCAAGAAAATACCTACTGCAGTTCCAATCGGTTTTATTCGCTATTCGCACCGTCACACTGTGGGCCCAATGTCCAAACTAGGTTGCATTAATTCAATTTTTTTTCTATTTACTTAAAACTTTAAAAATAATTAAACTTTGAGACTAACCAATGCTGGTAATTAATTATATAATTTATTTTTTCATTTTCCAGTGTTGCCACATTGGTATTTTTGGAAATTAATTTATAAAATTCAACTGGTGTAACAAACGTTATCTACGGATCAAAATAAGTCGATTTAACTCAAATTACCTATATACTAAGTTGCTTAGTTTAGTCGTTAGAGGCCTTTAAAGTTTTAAAAAATAACTATTTTTTTAAATATCTTAAAAACGAATTAATGAATTTTGAATATTTTTCGAATGTAACTTTTAACTGCCAATTAACGTCGTTTGGTGCTACACTCAGTTATCTTTAAAAATTAGAATAATCAGAAAAGCAAGGTTAGGTACTAATTTTCGCTTGTATTTTTTTTACTGTTGCTCACTTTGTTTAAAAACTTTTTGTCTCTTGTAAAAGTTGGATGAGCGGTTTAGCCAGAAAAAAATTATTTTGTAATGTCTGCATACATACTATCGATATATCGCGATAGTAACTATGTTTTATCCCGAAAAGTATTGAACATATAAATCTAGAGATTCCTTTTCTGAAAATAGTTCAATTTGACTCAACGCAGTTGCTTCGTGTAGCAGATAAAAAGTGAAATACAGAGTGTTGGTAATAGGTGGTGTATAAAGAGGAGGGTTTTCGCATATTTTTTCGGTCACTTCCGGTTTCACCTGAAATAGGTCCAGGTTCAAAAAATTAAATAGAAACCCCTGTATAAATTTTCATTCTTGGATTCTTAACATAATTCTGGACATAAATGTGATTTTTTAATGCCTTTTGAACAATTTTTAACAATGCATCTAGGCCACCTTGATGTAATATAAAAAGAATAAGTAGGCGTATACACTTTTAACAAATATTAAACGCCATGTAAGTATATAATTTGCTCATTGCCCAAGCAATACATGCGATAAACAACTTAAAGATGCATATTAATTGGTAATATTTTCTTTTCTCAGAGGTTTACATTTTTGACTGGGATAAGTTTCGCGATTTTTTGCGATTTTTTTGGTTAACAGTGTTTAGTAGTCTACATCTTTGTCTAATAAAAAATATATATTTTGGCTTGGCATTCGTTGGCCTTCCTATTTTTTTACTCTGCAAAACATAAAAAATTAAATATTCATGTTAATTACCTTATCAGTTCTTGCCAAAAAGCAAAAAAAAAACACGAATTTTCTATAATTTTATGTATCCAACACAACTAATTGACAGGTCTAATGTCAGTTATGAAATGTTTAAGACGACTTTTGCTTTTCACGGCCCTCTAAGCTATAAAAAAAAATCGCAAAAATCGTAGTTTTAATTAAAACGATTGCATTAAAAATAGACTTTCTTTTAAAGATCTGACATTGGGCATTTATAAAAAAGTGTTCGTAGAGTATTTTCAAAAAGCAATTATGTTTTTACAAGTTTGAATATGTTTTTAATAAAACAATAGTGGCAAATTATACATTTTCAATAATGACTTATTGCAACCTAGTTTGGGCATAGGGCCCACAGTGCGTCACAGGCATCGTGAATAGAATAGATTGCACTGAAATCTATTCCAATAAACGGTACCATAGAAAACAGACTAACTGCGCGACAGCGTCTGCCAGGACTCGGAATAGGAAAGGCCGGAATAAGTTCCGATATTTGGGAATAGGTACGCGGAATAGGCAGGTGATACCTATTGCAAAGTAGCCGGTCCAGTTTCACTGTAACATCCCTAGCCTACTGCCAGTGACACTCCCGGTATTTAAACAAAGAGGGCGCTAATAGCTTTAAACTCGAAACCGATTTGATTTAATTAACTCATTTTAAATTAAAACTGTCATTTTATTATAAATATATAAAAAATTAAGTAAATAATATTAGGCAATAAATATCTAATATAATTTTAAGTGGTAATTGACATTCAAATATTTACAGTTTTCATTATTTTTTAACGAATGAGTCGTCATCGAGTTTGGTTGGTAAAAACTAGAGGGCTACGGTATAAACAATAAATTTTGATACCCACTGCAATTCATCCGAATTTCGAAACCGGATTTTTCATAAGAGGATACGAAATTATTCCGAATCCACATAGTCAGAGGGCACTAATTACGGCGGGGTGCGGCCGGCAACACTCTGAAGATAAGACTCAATATCGCACAGGGGGGCAAACAATTCTAAAGCGGCTATCAGGAACCGAAATCCGACTCGGACAGCGACGAACATGAAGTACACCATCAAGGAAAGGCTCTAGCAGCATACTAATCTACCTACCCCCATTCAGGAATCCCAACTAAATGGGGTTATTACTAAAGCCCTGGTTGAGGAGGATTCCGGATTGTACTTAGTTTTGGGTCAGTTCAATGTCCTCCAAAAACCCTTCCTAAACTGGACGTATGGCCCGACCCGGCTGACAAAAATCCGTGGAGCGGCCTTAACCATAGACACTGTCATCCACGACCTCCTAGGGTGGATCTACCAGCCGGCGTAAAAACTTCGGATCTAACAAACACAGGTAATGCTGTGATTTGGCGGGATACGCAGGAGAACGGAAAGGGGGTAAAATAACCCTGGGAGATTAGTGGAGGATAATGTTTTTGGGGCCTGCCATACGTTCCCATACTCATACTCATTAATAATTATTCGGATGCCTCCGAATATCTCAAAACTGGGATTAAACGAGTATTTTAATTCGAAATACGACATCACTAATATAGTGTTCTTAAACACAGAAGTAACTTATAATTGTGTCATTTATTGTCACTTATGGTGGTCATTTATGAAAGTGGCGCCCAACTCTACATTATTTATTTAAAAACATTGACTGTATTGTTTGTATTGTATTTGTTTGTATCTATTCATCCCAACATTAAATTCACTATGGAAGTAGAACAAAATAAACAAATTAACTTCTTAGACCTTACTATCCAAAATAACAAAGGTATCCATTCATTTAAAATTTTCCATAAACCCAGTCACACAGATAGAGTTATACATAACTCTTCCTTACACCCGTTCCCACATAAAATGGCAGCTTTTAATTCGATGATACATAGACTTTTAAATGTACCATTATCTGAAGTGGATTTCAAACACGAGTTAAATTTAATAAAACAAATAGCTGTTAATAATGGATATAATCCACAATTAATTAATGACATTTATAATAAAAAAATCCATAAAATAGCAATTAACCTAATATTCCCACTACCTAAGAACCCTTTAAATACATACAATACTTTTACGTATTTAGGTACTAATATGAGACAGTTGTGTACTTTTCTAAACAAAAATAACATAAAATTCACATTTAAAACTAATAATAATTTAAGAAATTTTATTAAAAATAATAAAGATAAGACAAGTAAAAATAATAAATCAGGAGTGTACCAATTAACTTGTGCAGATTGCCCTAAAACGTATATAGGACAAACAGGTCGCTGCTTTAAAACTAGAATTAACGAACATAGAAAATCATTTATAAACCAAAAAACAGATTCCACTTTTGCAAACCACCTTATTAATGAAAACCATAATTTTAATTCTAACTTTAAAATCCTACACATAGAAAATAAAAGTATGAAACTGAATTTATTGGAGTCGATGGAAATTAATAAATTAAAGAAAATAACTGATATTATTCTTAATGACCAAATAGATACCAATAATTCCCCGTTATTAAACTTATTTTAATAAATTCAAATATTTTTTAGTGTTGTATAACTATAGAGATTACAGGGCATCCCCATAATTATTGTTCCTTTATTGTATAACGTTAATTTAATCTTCCACAATATTGTACTAAAAATATTACCTGTAAAACCATCATTTATATAAAAGTAAAATAAATATTAGTTTGTATACGATCTGAAGATGCTACTGTGTAGCGAAACAATTGTCATATTTAAATAAAATAGTGAAACTTTTAAACAGTGTAGTTTATATTAAAATAAAACAATGTATCTTTTTATTTTAGTATGCCCAGTTGAAAAAACCGATCGACCGAGATACAATTTCGCAAATGAGTCAAGAATCCAGCGATTCCCGGGAACCGCAAATGTCAATTCCAGCCAGCGAAATTCGCAGGCGACTTTCAGACTTTTTCCAAGAAGAAAAGAGCAAAAAATTTACCCATGACCCCGAAGATCCGTCTGCTGCTGTACTGAAAGAACCTTGGCAGGTAAACAGCTTTACTTGTAACAATTTGTTATTTTTATTTTAATCTTTATTGTCCGTTTTTGAGAAATAGTATTTTTTCAGGAAAAAGAACAAAGAATAAGAGAAAGTTCTCCTTATGGTTACCTAAACAACTGGAAATTGCTATCAGTGATTGTAAAATGCGGTGACGATTTAAGACAGGAACTCATGGCTTCCCAACTACTAAAGATGTTCCAAAAAATATGGGAAATGGAACATGTGCCCCTTTGGATTCATCCTTACAAGTAATATATTTTTTGTAACTAAACATGTACAATTATTAACTTAATTTTAATTTTTTAGAATTCTATGTTTGTCCGATGATAGCGGTCTCATAGAACCGATTTTAAACACGGTATCGCTGCACCAAGTCAAAAAACACTGTCAATTATCGTTACTTCAATATTTTGTAAAAGAATACGGATCGATGACGTCAGAAGCCTTTTTGACTGCCCAGAAAAACTTTGTACAAAGCTGCGCGGCCTACTGCCTCATATGCTATTTAATTCAAGTAAAGGACAGGTAATTTTTATATAAAAATGTATTCCGTTCGGTATTTTATTTATTTTTGCTTTTAGGCACAATGGTAATATCTTACTAAGAAGCGACGGTCATTTAATTCACATAGATTTCGGCTTTATTTTATCGACATCGCCAAAAAATTTGGGATTCGAAAAATCCCCGTTCAAATTAACTCCCGAATTTGTGGAGGTTATGGGCGGTGAAGAGTCTGACATGTTCGAATATTTTAAAATTCTTATTTTACAAGGGCTCATTGCAGCAAGAAAACACCATGGCATGATTATCAATTTGGTTGAAATAATGAGATCAGGTTAGTCAATAATTTTTATTTTCAGGGTCAAAATCACTGACCTGGTGAATTTTGAATGTAAATTTAATTACCAATATTTTACTGGCTGGTATTGAACAGAGATATAAAAACAGTTTTTTACTTTGGCTATTATTAGCTAATTAGCTATATTAATATTAGAAGTTAATAAAATATCAAATACAAATAGTGTCTTGTTAAGTAGATAAAGTGTTTTGAATTCCACCAAGAATTGCTTTTTTAAAATTAACCCAAAAGTAAAAAATCGCGTTTTGTTACATTATTATTACAAAATAATTTTCGTCCACAAAACTTATTATGTTATCTAAAAGTTCTTCCTTCTTAAAATCCTTTTTAATTTTCCCCTTTTCGAGACCTTGTTAGTTGAAATTTATGAAAACATTTTTTACCCAAACCAACTAATGACTTCTCAAGAAAAGAAACGGTCAAAATATAACAAGGATTTTGAAAGGGAAGCTACTCTTCTTTAAATGGGATTTAAGGAGGAAGAACTTTTGGATAACAATGAGTTTTGTGGAATAAAATTATTACTTTTAGAAGATGTAACCTCAAATATTAAAAAAAAGAAGAAAACCTACAGGGTATCATCAAATAAGTTGTCATCCCTTGGGGGATGATGGTTCACCCCGAAGTTTTGCATTTTAATAAAGAAATTAAAAAAATTGGCGCAACCTTTGGAAATTTGTTTTGTGGCCACTGGTTTTGTTTCAGATTTGTATTCAAATTTTTAATTTTAAGGGTTGGTTGCATAACACCCAGAAAATCTATAGTAGAGATGCAACTTTTGGACCCTTTTTCGCAAAGAAAAATTTAAAATTTTAGCAAAAACATGTTAACAGTTAACTTTTTAGTAGTAAACTTAGTTTACCTTTGAGTTTACCACAAAAAATGTAATATAAGTAGTAGGGATGCACCGGATCGGGTATTTTGCCGATCCGGCCGGAACCGGAATTTCGGCCGCTGGCCGGACCGGATCGCCGGAATTCCGGCCGGATCGGACCTAAATTTAAAATGTATGTGCATGCCTATTTTTATACTTAAACCATTGAAAATATTGAGGCTGATTTATTTTTAATTTTTTTTAAACTAGCTACAGTATGCAGAGTGTTTTTTACTACTAATTTTACCTAGAGAGAAATTACTGTTTATTTAAATATTAATTTTTAATTAGCGTTAACAAAATTAAAACAATTCTACTCATTCAATTGGAGAATAGCAGCCACCTGCCAATAATAAACCTTCACTGTTGACCAATTACAAAATATGTCTGGTCGAAAGTCGGGGCATCCCAGACGCGAAAGTCGGGGAATCACAGAGGCGAAAGTCGGGAAATCCCAGACGCCTGCTAATCATAAGCAAAGGCACAGGGCTGCAGGCATGATACTAAATTTCTCACTCTAATTTTTCATGTAAACTGTATTCTTATCTTATAAGGCTTATCCATGACAGGAATTTGGCTGTTAGAATTTGGCTGTTAATAATGTTTTCAGTTATTATTTATGTTTTGTAATTTTTGGGAAGAAAATATATTTTGTTCAAAAAAAAAAAATATTTGTCATTAATTAACGACTTAACAATAGGTAAGTAGGCACCAATTAAGAAATACCTTAAAATAATTTTCTTTATTTTTGCATATATTTGAACTTAAATTATATTAAAAATTTAAAACTTATACATTTCCAAAAAGTTCCGAAAATTCCGGCCGGAAAGCGATCCGGCCGGAACGGTAGTTCCGGCCAACTGGCCGGATCGGCCGGATTTAGTGGTACCGCCGGAATTCCGGTGCATCCCTAATAAGTAGAATCTCTAAAATTTTAAAAGATATAGAAAATTAAAGTCATTAAAATTTAAAATGTTAAGATTTATATTAGAGATGGCAGAAAATTGTCAAAAATGCTCATTAATGCTCAAGCATTTTTAAACTTTTGTGAACAGAAAACTAACTTATTTGTTGGTTATGGTATAATTCCGCTTTTTAGTTATGGCGGAAAATGCAGTTATAGAGCACTTCTTAAAATCGCTTTTAAGCACCTATGAGCACGTTTCGAGCATTTATGAGCATTTTTTAAATAACCAGGTTATGTTAAAATCCCGCTTTTTTCGGAAAATTTAAATATCCATCACTTTTTAAGTTCTCGAGCGCTTTTCACAACATTTATGCGCATTTTTAAAAGAGCTCATCCTATTAATCATGGTTTATAATTAAATAATATTTATATTAATAATGTTTTTTTCTCTAATTTTATTTGTCAGGTACCACAAACAATTGGAATTTGTAAAATATTTAAAGATTAAATCCAAATAAATTTTGCTTAAATTTTAAATTTTTATTACCTCAAATTGAGTTGGGATTCACTTTTATAAATAACCATCACAATCAGACTGAATTTAAAATATGACCGATTTTCGCGGGCAAATTACACGTAGAAAACGTTTGTTTTAGACATGGTCCAGTCATAAGAACGGGTTTAGTTTTAAATTTAAAGGCCTTAATTATTAAAAATTAATTTAAAATTTATTTTTTAATACAATAGTAGGTATATTATGTACCAAGTTTTATAAACGCCATTTTAGTGCGTACGAGTTTAATTAACCACGAGCGAAGCTTTCGAACGAGTTTTTAATAAAAACGAGTGTCTAGACAAGTTTATAAACGAGTTGCATACTATACTTTTTCTATTTGTTTATCATAATAACCACAGTACATTTATCTCCATGGCGTCAGTACGATACATGGCAACAGTATGATACGCAAATATAATTGGACGGCTTTCTGCAGAATGGGACCAACCCACACCATTATGAAACTGAGGAAAAAGCTATCAAATATTTTAATAATTTTAAAATTACCTGTTAATTTTATGCCGATTTTGGACTTACGGAGGTTTAAGGGATATAATTTAATAATTTCATCAGGTGGATTTTGTGATGTTATGTGTAAGGGTGACGAAAAAAATGGGCTTTTGTTGGTTGGTTCCTTTCTGCAATTTATGAAAACTACTATCTGATGTATGTATGTATTTAAAGAAAAGCGAAAACTATTTATTTCCAAACAAAATACAACTGATATTACTATTATAATGGTAATATGAATTAATTTTGATTCTATTTGAAATTTGTCCACATCATCTTCCAACCCCACCTCATCTTGTAAGCTACCAAAAAAATGCATCAAGACTTTATATTTTGCAGAAGCAGGAAATCTTTAAAGACTTTGGTAGTGGGTCTACCAGCCTGCTTTTTTACAAAAAAGATCCAACCCACTTGCAGATATTCTACAGATTCTAATTCTGGATTAGTAATCCACACTATTATTGAATGTTGGTTGGTTCAATGATTAATAGATTTCACTACACTTGCATTTTGGCTATGACCTATTTTGCAGATAAATTATACATACTTAATTAGTTCATAGGCTAAATATCTCGATTTTTTTGGTTTTGTGGGTTGGTTCCTTTCTGCAGAAAGGCGTCCAATTTATAATTCGAATTTTTCTTAAAATTTTGACAAATAGAAAAAACATGTAGTCGTCCACATTAAATACATTAAATTGTCGTCGTTCGATAAAATGACGTTTAATGACATTAGTTCTTTAATATACTATTATCTACGACGAACACAAAACAGAATTTAAAGTCAATTTTATTTGTTAAAAAGTTGACATCTGTCAACTGTAGCCCGATCTAAACCTCACTTTTTCCCAATTTGAAATAACTTCAGCCTGTGACTAAAAAGCCCAAAAGCCACTGTTACTAACTTTAGCCTGTGACTAAAACGACATAAGTCACAGCCATAGATTAAAATTAATTCTTTTTAATCTATGGTCACAGCTCGTCAATGTATGAGTAGATAATACCATATTATGTATCAAGTTGGATAAACGCCATTCTAGTCACGAATTTAAATGAGTTTAGAAAAGGTTATAAACAAGTTGCACTAGGGTTTCCAGTCCGGGATCCCGAAATCCCGGGATCCCGCGGGTTTTTTGTCCCGAAAATCCCGGGATTAAAATTAGGGTTTCTGGTTCGGGATCCCGGGATCCCGAAATCCCGGTGTCTAATATTTACTTGACAGCTAAATAGGATAATTGTTTAAAATAATTTTTTGTGTTTTCCTAACTACAAAATTGCAACAACTATCATACAAGCAATATATTCGAAAACCCAAATTCTGAAGTAATAGCGCAATTTGTCAAAAATATATCAGAAAATTTCAAAAAAACTATTACTCCAGATTCGGAATCTGATGATAAAGACATTCCTTTGTTTGAACATATAAAAAAGTCGACAGACCATTTAACTTTAAAGCAAAAACTTTAAGATGCCATAGGCTCTGTAACTACTAAAATTAAACCTACTTGGCAAAACACTAAAAATCCAAAATGTCGTCTTAACACCCTGAAAGTTATTAAAAAAGAAATGACACTTTATGAAAATGGAGGATTAAGAGGTTTATATTTGCAGCAGTGTTACGAATATTTACTTACAGTACCACCTACAAGGGTGGAAGCTGAGAGAGCCTTTTCTTCGGCGGTCACATTTGCGACCAAACTTAGATCGCGCTTAAGTGACTCAACCTTAGACAGGTTGGTGTTTTTAAGAGCATATTTTATTTTTACTAAGCAAAACGTAAATGTTTACTTTTCATTTAAAAGTTCTTTGTAAAGTACTTTGTTTTAAGTATAGCTTATTTTATATTTACAAATCGTAAATGTATAAGAATTGTTTTTTGATGTATGCATTTTTATTAATTTTGTTGCTACTGTTAGATAAATAAAAACATTATTAATGTTAATCCCGTGATCCCGGGATTTGTTTTTTTTATCTCGGGATCCCGGGATTTGTTTATTTTTATCCCGGGATCCAAAAACGGGATCCCGATCCCGAAAATTGGAAACCCTAAGTTGCACACTATATTTTTTTTTACGACAAATATATATTAAATATTATACAAATATATATTTATGTAAAAATGGAGTAAAATTGGGAATCTGTATTACCGGCGTGAAATATCAAATTTTTCTGTGTAAATCGAAATTAATGGACTAACAACCGTTTATAATCGATATGGAAGCAGTTTTTCACAGTGAAAGTAAAGAGAATGTTTTATGGGCACTCCGAAATTGTTAATGCTTTATCAGTTAAATCTAGTTTACTGCCGGCAACAGTATTGCATAAAACCGTGCTGACCAAAAGGTCAGTACAAACGTGCATATAAACTTTTTAAATATTGGCATTTAGAAACTACACTTGGGTGCAAAAAAATCGACTCACTAACAAGCTTGAGTTTTAAAAGAATGTGTGTTACCTACAACAGCATACTGATTAATTTTATATGTATTGTTTACAAGCTCAACAAAACTGCTTTTAAATAATACCATAATGACTCAAATTGGACCAGTTTTAACAAGTCTATAGGCCTACAAATATTTATAAGACAAAAAAATTAAAATATAAAAATGGAAAATAAACGAAAAACAAATAAATCAATGAACAAAATTATGTTTTTATTTTTTTTAATATTTAGTGTTGTCACCTCTTTTTATAATGACACCTAATCACCAATTGCGCATTGACCTAATTAATTACATGTTTAATGGTATCTTAAGGGATTGCTTTCTCCGGCTCTATCAATTCTCTTACGGTATTTGGTGCTGGATTTTTGGCTCGGACTCATCTCTTAAGGTCATCCCAAACATGCTCGATAGGATTTAAGTCCGGGCTCTGTGGAGGCCAGACCATGGTCGGTATAACAACTTCATTTAAGTTAGAGGTGATCACTCGCGCGGTGTGGGATCGAGCATTACCTTGCATAAACATAAACGATCACCAACAAATCCCGCATACGGTAACACATACTCTTGAAGAATGTCCGTGTTGTAGCGGTCTGCCGTTAATCTTCCTCTACGACCTCCATCAGGCACGAAAACCATCTTTATTTCGCCGCCTATTGAAATTCCCGCCCAGAACATACAAGAGTTACCTCCGTACGCAACAATTGGCTCAATACAGCATTGGGAAAATCGCTCTCCTGGTCGCCTATACACCCACCGTCTCCTGTCATTGCCATGTAAGCACATTCTGCATTCGTTGGAGAATAAAACCTGACTCCATTTGCCGAGGTCCCAATTAATATGTTCATTGGAAAATTCCAGTATTTTTTGTTTTTGGGTTGCAGTCAAATTGGGAGCCCTAGATGGCCTTTTTGGGGTGAGGTTGGCTGCCTTCAGGCGTCTTCTAACTGTTCAACGACTGACTACCACACCATGAACCTGTCTCAGCTCTTCTGTGAGATCAACACCAGGAAGTGTTCGATTTCTTAATATTTTCGTGACGAGAAATCGATCGTCCCTCAAGAATGTGACTGGTCTATGGTCACTTTCTTGTCGGCGGTTTTAGCCACCCGTTTCTTGGTATCGATGATTAATCCGAGATACGGCTAACTGACTTAAATTGAGTCGGTTTCACACGGCCCTCTGGTTAAAGCCCTCACCTAATAATGTTTAATTAGCTTATGTTTATAATTACGTTTGACAATTAAAAGCAATTAGTAGAGTGTAGGCCGTTTACAAGGTCATTGCGCGGACCCATTCAAATTAGCAAGATTTTCGACACCCCGTTAATGTTGCATCTTTTTTAAATGCGTTACCTGATTATTGCTATAGTAACCTATTTTTATAGGTAAAAAAATAAGAAACTTATGGCATATCTAATATTTTTATTGTTATTGTCCAAACACTAAAACAGTAGGCAGAAATGCGAATACATATAGAGAGTCGATTTTTTTGCACCCAAGTGTATTATTATACACATTCATTAAGTCCCTGAAAAAAACTATTTTTAACAAAAATGTTCAGTGCCTTTACTCAAACAATTTTTGTCCGATTTTAAATTCACTTTATTTAGTCAATTTTAACGCAATTCAATACAAATTGGCAAAATAGCACTCAAAACGACCGCGCGTTTTAAAATTTATATTTATGATGCAATTGTTCTAAACCTTAATCCTATTATTTGTGTAGCACTTAATTTCCCACTTTGATGATTTTGACCTATTATCTTTTTTTTTCTCAAAAATGGTGCTTAAAGAGTGTACTTTAAAATAAATAATTTTATTCTGACATGTGGGTATTGTCTACAGGTTCTCAGCTTCCATGTTTTAAGTCTGGAGCAGCAACTGTACAAAATTTAAAGAATCGTTTTCACATGAGCATGACCGAGGAGCAGCTGCAACTTGAGGTGAACCGAATGGTGGAGGGCAGCATAAACTCGTTGTCTACGAAATTGTACGACGGTTTCCAATATTTCACCAACGGTATCCTGTAATATATTATTCTGGCTGCTGCCTTTATGTGTATGTGATTTTAAACTGTAAATTTTTATCATAATTATAATACCTAATAATAAATACATTTACCAATGCTAAACAGACTGAGTTAGCATGTTTATATAGTTTAGATTTTTTACGGATTGCGCGCGCGATTATATTTGCGTTTTTTTTATAATATTGTTGTATGCTCAAAGTTTAAGTAACATCAGTTACATATGATATAGAGATTAATAATTTATGTAAATGATATTAATTGTGCTACTTGCTTATAAACAATAGCTTAAAATAATGACAAACGTTTTAAATGGTAGGTAGTATATTGTATAAAAAATCGAAGTATGCCTTTTTTTGGAAATTTTTAAAAAATTTCGAATCCTATTCTTTAAAGTGTGTTGCCATGTTGATCAGTTAATCAGTTTGTATTATTGCTTTTACGTGTGTATAAATTGATATTTAATAGTTAAATTTAACGTGTATTATATTATACCCGGTATATGTAAGTGTGGAGGTAAATACTCATCAGTCATTTTTTCATAATAAAAATACCCTTTGAGGCCAAATAAGTGACGAATTTTATACAAATTTATTATATTCTATTTAAAAATATTTATTTTTATGATCATATTATAGTCATGGAATTTATACAAATTTTAGTTAAACATTCCAAACATTTGTTGTTCAAGTCTTTATGATAAATGGTTTATTACACAAGTTTTAAAAATAATGTGTCGTCCATTGAAAAAAAGGTTATAACAAATTAAGTAATATTTTAAAAAGGAGTCAAACTCAGAGTCGAATTAAGTTTTATTTTTAATAATGGTATAGAAAAATTTACAAAATACCAGTCAATATATTGTAGTTTGCAATAAAACATTTTTGCAAAAGAAACCAAAAAAATATTAAAATTGTTAAAAAAATAAAATTGTATTTGACCTCTTTTCAAGATATAGCTTGGTTTTGTTAAATTTAGTTGAAAATTTTATGGAACATATGGAATTTGCTTAATAAATAAAAAACCTATGTTGATTATGATCTGCATTTAACTGTACAAATAAATTTTTATGTAATCATATTGTAAATAATAATTAATATATTCAAACATCACTAGTTAAATTTAGATAATTGACAGTTGTCCATCCATTTTATAATATAAACGTAGTTGTATAATAAAATAATTTTGACTGAATATTATAAAAATGCAAAAAGACTGATGTCAGCAGTAGGCTTTTTGCAAAATAGTTATTAATGACTTTTAATGTTTTTATATTAATCAAAGCCTTTTATTTGACACATAATGTGTAATTAAAAAGTACATCAAAAAGTTTTATTAAGAGATTTTGAATATACAATTGTATTTTATTAAACTTATAAATTGTATTGAATGATTTAAATAAATATAAATATTCACTTTTATTGTATTTTATTATTTTGAACCACACGTTACGTAACATTGTTTCCGGTACTTTACTACGCCACATAATTGTGACTTAGGTAAAAATTGTCACTTGGTGGTTACTGGGAGGGAGGGAGGGTACAGAAAAACGTTACGGTGCATTACATGGGGGGTCAAAAATTGCGTTACGTAATACTTAAACGGTCCCTCATGGCTAAGATTAAACGCATTTAAAATTCCGTAGGAATGGCATCCAATCGGCAATGCAGTATATTTTAAAATTGCCCGGGCGTTTTTAATGTTTAAATGCTATAGCAGTTATAATTATAACTGGGTTATATCTGGCTAAAACTTAACCAACCAACTTTTAACCTTTCGACATTAATAGTTTCCCAGCAAACCAAATCATGTCACAGTGATATAACATTCATATAAAAATTGTTCCTTAATATGCAACACTTATGTCACCTATATGTAATGGCAATGCTTCTATGTCCGCCTCAAGACCCCTTCCTGGTTATGTAACTGTGATGTAACAGTGTTTTATCAAAGATATGTTTTATTTATTGTGCAACTGTCATAATTATAGTTATGTAAACGTGATAAAACAAGTATATTCCGTTTACATAAATGTTGCATTCTATTTACTTATTATTTATGCAATATTTACTTATTATTTATGAAATATATACAGTGCTTGCAAACACAAGTCCGACCGGTTTGGGAAGGACGCGTGAAAATAACAAGGAAAGAACGCCAAACAGAAGGCGCTTACAATACGCACGCCTGAGGCTCTGACCAATCAAATTCTGTTTGGCATTCTATCCTTATTCTTTTCACGCGGGTATTGAACAACGATCCTTCCCAAGGCGGTCGGACTTGGATTTGCAAGCACTGTATATATATATATTATGTAATATCCCGGACAACAATCGGGATTTCCTGGTTAAGTCATGATGATATCACAACGTGATTTTTTTTTATCACGCTGTGATATACTGACTGTATACACATGCTTCATCACAGTGATATCATGTAGAACTCACGGTGTGATATTTGCAAAATTTGCGCATGCGTATGAGCCCTGCGAACTGCGAATTTAAAACCTAGTTTGTTATTCACATTACACCGTTATAATTTATAAAACGTTGTTTGAATATCACGAATGTTGTCCGGGTCGTGATTTTTTACATATACCTATAACTTATATATACAGTGTGTCGCACTTAAGATGAAGACACCCCCATATTTTCGCTATTTGAAGGAATAAAGGTTTGAATTTTTTCACATTCATACATGTTGATGGGTCACATTTTTTAAGCTACTCAACTGAAATCTGAACTTTAAACTTGGCCTAATACAAATTTACAAACAGGGCCAGTTCTCGATATTTTGCTTCGCGTTAGAGATATCGAAAAAAGTTATTGGAAAAAGTTGTTCAGAATATTATTCTAACCCCATATATCAATTTTTATAACAAAATTCGCATTTTTAATTTTTTTTTATTTTGGTCCACACAAAATTATTACAAGTTCATTTTTTAGTTTGATAATAAGGAAAGTAATAATTTGATATTAGTGTTTATGACCGTTAAATAAATAATTAAAACAATTTTTGGAAATTACAAATCAATTATAATTTATTAAATTAAGGAAATGGTATAAAACAATAATAAAACTAATAAAAATAAATAAATTAGAAATGCGAATTTTGCTATGAAAATCGGTATACGGGGTTAGAATAATATTCTGAACAACTTTTTCTAATAATTTTTTTCGATATTTCTAACGCGAAGCAAAATATCGACAACTGGCCCCGTTTGTGAATTCGTAGTAGGCCAAGTTTAAAGTTCAGATTTCAGTTGAGTATCTTAAAAAATGTGATCCACCAACATGTATGAATGTGAAAAAATTCAAATCTCTATTCCTTGAAATAGCGAAAATATGGGGGTGTCTTCATCTTAAATGCGACACACATACATGTATGTATATGTAGGTATATGATTTTTTATGCCATCGCTGTTTGCGATTGACCGATGGCCTAAAAAATCATGTCAACGCTACCGTTGGCATAAAAAATCACGACATGATTTTTTAGGCCATCGGTCAATCGCAAACAGCTATGGCATAAAAAATCACGACATGATTTTCATTTCTCACGCAGTGACATCCGGATGATGTCTTTTTCAGAGAAAAAATTCCACAAGGGCATCCAAGAAAATATTAAATGTATTTAACCGCAAAAACTGTTAATTCAATTGTTAACATACATTTTCTCACAATGTACGAGCGTGGCGCAAAAATGATTATCCAAACACGTGGTTAACTATTAATTTAAATCCAAAAAAATATTGAATGTATTTAACCACAAAAACTGTTGATTCAATATATATGTTACATATAATATGTAGGTATACTTTTTCTCTCAATGTACGAATGTGGCGCAAAAATAAATATCCAAACACCGTTGGCACATGATTTTCATTTCTCACGCAGTGACATCCGGATGAAAATCACGACGTGACGTTCATATGATTTTCATTTATTACGCGGTGACTTCCGTATGATATCAGTATGAATAAAATTTGTGAAAATCACGACGTGATGTTCGTATGAATATCACGAATGTTGTCCGGGATATTATCTCACTGGTATTAAAAATTCCTAAGCCCTAACTTTGTATTATGGCACTTTTAAAATTGTGTTGATTTTTTTTTTTGAATTTGCAAAAATTTTACCAGTGCAATAGTACAAAATTGTTCCTAAAAAATATTCAGTGCAAATCGCCGACGGTGGACTAGTGGTTAGTGCTGCTGACTAGGGGTGTCAATCCCGAGCCCATTTTCCAATCCCGGGCCTTTCGGGACCAAAGGTAACTAATCCCGGGATCCCGGGATCAGTCCCGAAAAAATATATATCATTAATTTTAAAACAAATTAAAAATAAAACAACAAACAAACTAACGAACGATATCTTTCGGACTTCACACTAGTCGGAAGAATGGTTTTCAAGAATTCGTAGGCACATTGTACCCACGTTTACCCCCATTAACAAATAAATCCATTTCTTTTATCAATCAGGCCTTGGTGAGTTCCAATTGGGGCTGTAACTTACATTAAAATTATCAAGTTTGTGACATTTTTTCAGGTTTGAAATATGTTATATTATAGGTTATGTACATAAATTTATTCTACAGTCACCTGTAATTTTACATTTTCTTTACTGAGTTTATGCTATAGATGGAACCACTCTTGCTATGTAATTTCAATGTATTTTCATTATTGTACGGCGGTGTATAATAATTTGACTTGAACTGAGTAAAAAAATGAAGTGTTTATATACAGGGTGAGTTTTAAGTTGACGCGTTCCTTTTAACAGCGTGTAGAAATCAGATAGACAAATAAATATTTTAAGTAACTTTTTTATCAAAACTCAAAAATAAAATTGCTATAGCCCTTCAAAATTTAATTCAATTTTGAGCCGGTCCTGGCTATTGTTAACCTTAGAAGAAAAACTTCTAAGTTGTTAACAAAAAACATAACCATAAAAATAAAAATAACAAAATAAACAATGCAAAATGTCATCTATGACAACAAACATAACCATTTAAACCAAAATTACACCTTTTTAACAATAATTGAGGCCCAAAAAAAACTTAAGTGAATAATGACATTTTTCATTGCTAAATGTCATGACAAATGCATTTCGATTTAAATGGTTATGTTTGTTGTCATAGGGGCCGTCCATAAATTACGTAACACGCGAAGGGGGGGGAGGGGTTGCTCAAAGTGTGACAAAGTGTTACGAGGCGGGGAGGGGGGGTTTACGACTTTGTTACGTAACACTTTTGAGCCTTCATTTAAATTATAAAATAAAATGTGAGAAGTAGCCAGTACTTTTTACAAATTGTGAAATGCGATGATCGCAGCTGTTGTTTGGCTTTTAGAAGCCAATTTAAAGAGCTTTTCCCGAATAGATTCTTGCCTCCTCCAGTATCAGTAGGGTATAATGAAGATGCGTTAACCATTAAAGAACAAGGACACTTAAGAATTCTTGAATTTTTTTGGTACTCTTTCTCTAAAGGACAGGTTAAATGCACCCTTATTCTTTAAGAATTTTAAAGAAGTCCCATATGATATTAAGTGTCCTTCAGTAAAAGAAGCTTTGCAGAAACGAATCTGCAAGAAATGTGGGCTTTATGGGGCTTCGCTAAAATTTATACTCAGCCACCAAAAAGACTGCGGGCGAGAGGCAAATATTAAAAGAATTAGACCAGAAAGGGTGGCAGCTAAAAGACAAAAGGAATTTTTGGTGCAACTTGATAAAACAGATCAGGAGTTACAGTGGATTGATGAATATGTTTTAGAAAATGTGGCTGTTGCCGAATATATCTACGAAAACGCAAGCGTAGAAGTAATATCCATGGAAAATGCCATTTCAACACCATGGAAAAGTTCTGACGACTGAAAAATACCCATACTACTGCTTAAGTGATTCTTAATAACCTAATAGTAAGATTTTGTTACCTACCTGTTTGTAATAAGCTTAGATTTTTAATATTTTGTTTTTTCTTTGATTTGAGATTAAGATTCTGTTGACTGAGTATATTTTTTGTTTTTTTTTTGTTATTAACTAAATATATGTTTTGTCCTTTTTTTTTAGTTTAGGGGGGGTAAGCCAAAGTGTTACGTAATTTTAGGGGGGGGGGTTTGCCCAAGTGTGACAGAGTGTTACACAGGGGGAAGGGGGGGTCAAAAATTGGCAAAAATGGTGTTACGTAATTTATGGACGGCCCCATAGATGACATTTTGTTTATTTTATTATTTTTATTTTAATGGTTATGTTTTTTGTTAACAATAGCCAGGACCGGCTCAAAATTTAATTAAACTTTGAAGGGCTATAACTCGCTTATTTTTGAGTTATGATAAAAAAGTTACTTAAAATATTTATTTGTCTATCTGATTTCTACACGCTGTTAAAAGGAACGCGTCAACTTAAAACTCACCTTGTATATGCTTATGAGTATTATAATATGAAAAATGTCATACTCTTAAATAAAAGTCTATTTTATTCTTTGTAACTTATTACTAAGATCCCGGGATTGGCACTTTTAATCCCGGGATTTTCGGGATCGGATTGTTTACGGGATCCCGGGACCCCGGGATTTCGGGATCCCGGGATTGACACCCCTACTGCTGACTACAAGCCGGAGGTCGTGGGTTCTAATCCCACCAGGGGTATGGCTGTTTATTTGTGTTTGTCCTATTGTGTAATAGTCCTTCGGAGGGGACTTTAAGCCCGCGGTCCGTTCCTACCCCTAATCCGCACAAGCCATTCAGTTGGCTTCTGGGACTTCTTAGGAAGTAAGGGGTCATCCATTAATTACGTGAGGCAATTTTGGCGATTTTTCGACCTCCCCCCCCCCTTGGTGAGATATCGTGAGATTTTACTCGACCCCCTCCCTTAATCTCACGTGAGATTTTTTAAAATGCATGGTTTTAATGTAAATAAAATAATCTGTGCTTGATTCCATTAGATTTATTAAAAAAAACAATTTGCTTATAACTATTTACTTATAATAATAATAATTATAATTTAACCCAGTTTTCTCGCAAATTTTACACTGTTTCATTCGAAAAGAAAAAATTACGTGATATTTGCCGAGACCACCCTCCCCCCCACGTGAGATTGGGTGAGGTTTGGCTCGACCCCCTCCCCCCTAAACACCTCACGTAATTAATGGATGCCCCCTAAGGGTGGAACTAAAAAAAAAATTAGCACTACATTTACCCTAATGTCAATTAAATTGTAAAACAATAAAACTACATAATTGTATACTATTTTATACATGTATAAAATAGTATACATTGTATGTATTAATATATTGTATACCTATAGGTATATACCCAGACCGCAAAATCCCATTCCATGCATATGTCAGGAATATTCCCAGGATTATTCCAAGCGTACAAAAATATTCCCAGGAATATTCCTGGCGTAATCAGTTTGGAATAATAGTATATTCTGTAACAAGTTTGGAATTCCAAACGTGTTTCAGACTATACTTTTTCTACGTTTCAAAAAAATACCATAGAAAAATAATTTAATTGGAAGAAAGTGAGGTTGGATCGGTCAAAAATTTGTTAGATATTAAAAACAGAGATGTCGCCACGAGTGTTTATTCTGTCATCAGATGATAGAATATTTCATTCTTTAACACTTTACACTTCATTTCATTCCATAGATAAAAGTGATATTATAATTCTTAAGGGTCAAATTCCGTAATAGGAGTAGAATTTCTTTAATATTCCATGTAGCGGCATGCATATGTATTGTTAGGAGAATATTTCCAGTAATATAATATAATATATAATTATTACTGGCGTAATCAAATATCCGCTTTTTGGTTAACACAGTCACAATAAAAAGAATATTCCGTGTAGCGGCATGCACAACTTATGGGAAAATTCCCATTTGACGAAAATTCCCGGAAACTTTCCATCGAAAATTCCCGAAATTTTCCGAAAGTTTCAAAAAAAAATTTTTATTGCGAAAAAATTTTTTTTATGCCACGCTTTTTTGTGATGATCAAGGAGCCTACACAAGGAGCCCGAACTTAATAGGGAAAATTGACAAAACCTGCCCTCTAAATTGCACAAATTAAGTCTTTTTTTTTCACCACCAGCGGCGCTGATTGTTGATGCGTCCTGACGTCTGCTCTTTTGGTAGCGTTTCGGTACAAATTAGTCAATTGTTTTAGAATAAACGGGACACCAGCGCCTACTTTCCTTACGAAGATTCTTGTTTACATGAAGTTCGGACTCCTTGTGTAGGCTCCATGGTGATGATGCTGAATAATCCGGCTTCTTTGAGGTTATGTAACATAACTTACATTATTTATACTTCTTCTTCTGCCTTAAATTAACGCACATTAAATTCTTATTCAAAGTTTCTTGGCCTTGTATCATGGCCTTAACGAAAATCAGCGGTTAAACAATTGACATTTAAATGAAAAAAACAAGGAAAGTTTCCAAGGAATGTTTCCGGTAGCTTAGAAGAAACTTTCAAAATGAAAATAAATTCCCAATTGGAAACTTTCCAAAACGGAAAGTTTCCTTAAAATGGAAACTTTCCGATTCCCATCTCTATGCATATGCCTGGTTCATATAGATGCGACATGCGAATTTGCGAAATGCGAAAATGTTTTCATTGGTCCATTTGATTTGGCGGGAAAAGTGTTTCGACGTTTCGACAGATTCTGCGAATTCGCATTATTTGAAATCTGGGGGGCGGGAATCTTGAGATTGATCCAATATTTTGCGAAAATCGCACGAATTTGGCGTGATGCGCATGCGCATTAATGCAGATGCCTATTATACGTATTTGTTATATGTATTCGCGCCATTTTTGTTTATGTTGTGTTTATTTCATTTGTATTGCATCGTTGTTGAGTTTTATTTGAAATGTTTCTTGCTAAAGTTGTTTTTTGTTCTTTATAATGGACAAAGAGTTTTTGGAGGCACATTAGTCTCTTATTTTACCTTATAGTAGCATATTTTTTTAGAAGTAACTTTACTATTTAAGTACCTACCTATAGAAAATGTTAACCAAGTATGGCAAATATCACCTGGAGAGAAAATAATGTCCCTAAAAAACCATGGCAAATATCGCCTAGTGAGAAAACAATGTCCCTAAAATGGTTCCGACAATTCGCATCTATATGAATAGGAGCTGCGAAATGCGAATATTCGTATTTCGCAAATTCGTAAATTCGCATCTATATGAACTCGGCTTAAAGCCCTTAAGCCGAGTTCATATAGATGCGAATTTGCGAATTTACGAATTAAAGACTTAAGTATTGTTGAGAGAATGTACCTTAATATAATTTGGGGATTACCCTTATGGCCACTTATACCCAGGAACTTAATTAGCTATTATATTCCTCTATGTCCTGAGTTGAGGTCCTAAGGATATGCAGTGGACGTCTGTGCTGTGTGTGCTGTTTGTGTGTGCTATATGCTATAGTATATAGTATTTATTGTTTTATCTTTGGACATTATATAATTATCTTTAAATCTATTATATATTTTAAATTAAAATTTTTAATATCAAAATAAATATAACACTAATTTTAAAAAAGTCTTGGAAAAGCAAGTTTTTCCCATAAATATCCACAATTTCCTTTATTACCAATTTAAATAAGGGCGGTAAATAAATATCGCATCTTACTTTGCTGACAGTGAAATGTTAATATAATACTTGTTTACCCATATTATTATTATTAAATTATTTTTTTAATGCAAAAGCGTTAAGTATCAACGGTAAAAGTAACCTTTTCGAATAAGCCACAGGCCCTCAGGAGTATTTGGCAACATCGCATCTGCATATGTTTGGTAAGAAACTTCTAGTCGGTGACCCAACATCGATCCCGACTTCTCACGAGCTGGCACGAACCGCCTTATAACGTGACGTCATAATAATAATCCGGTTTTGTTCCCCGAACATACAGAATTTGTTGTCAAGCTAAATAGCTTAGATGGTAGGGCGTTTGCTTTGCATGCGAGAGGTCCCGGGTTCGATACTCAGAAGTTGTCGAATTTTTTTTACTTTTTTATTTCATAAATTTGTTGTTCCTTTGTTAAAAAGTGTTTTATTTTTATCGTAACATAAATTTGCCCATTTTAGTTGGGTTTTTTGCTCAATGGGGCGGGGGGGGGCCAATGGGGCGGGGTCGGTTGGGTTGTGTTGTTGAGTTTGGGTTGGTTTGGTTTTATTACGTAACTAACGTGCCCTTAACATGTATACAGGTACAATTTATTATTATATTATTGTTGTGCCGTCAATTTTAAATGATAATGATGCATTGTATAATATATAATAAATTCTTTGTCCAGTCGGGATCGATGTTGGGGCACCGGCTAGAAGTTAGTTGTTTGGTATGTCAAACGTCAAAATTTAGTAACCTAAAAGAACAACAGCTTAAAATTGTTTAATATGAACATGGTTTGTTCTATGAATATGAATTAACGACACTTATGTATTTATGACAAACAATTACGTTAAAAGAAGTGTTTAGAGTAAATAAGAAAAATGTGGGACACATCCGTGTTTTTAAACACTTTAACGCCAAAGTTCTATGTGGCTTTAACAGGGACTTCTTCACTGATTTCCGGCTTAATTCTTATATTTGAATGGTGGTACTTTAGAAGATATGGAACATCATTTATAGAACAGTTATCTATCACCCACATAAGCCCATGGATTAGCGGCGAATATGTGGAAAACGGAGGGCATTTGAATGGACACACTAACGGTAATAACTCGCAAAATGTGAATGAATGTAAAGTATGGCGAAACCCGCTGAACCTCTACAGAGGGGCTGAATATCAGCGTTTTTACTGGGCAACAAACAAAGAGCCTCTAACATACTATGACATGAACTTATCGGCTCAAGACCATCAAACTTTGTTTACTTGTGAGGCTGATGCAGGAAAAGAAGAGTATGAAATTATGCAGACGGCCTGGCGGGAAAGAAACCCAGCTATTAGAATAAAAGCTGCACACGATGCTCTAGAAAAAAATCCTGATTGTGCAACAGCCTATATTTTGCTTGCTGAGGAGGAAGCTACTACTATACTTGATGCTGAAAAGATCTTTAAACAAGCCCTTAAGGTTGCAGAAGTTAGTTATCGTAAATCACAGCCTTTACAGCATTCAAGTTCTTTAATGGAAGGATTACATAGAAGAGACACAAATGTGGTGGTTTACATAAAAAGGAGGTTAGCTATGTGTGCTAGGAAGTTGGGGAAATTAAAAGAAGCTGTTAAAATGTTTAGGGATTTAACCAAAGAAGTCCCACCTATTATTAACATTCTTAATATTCATGAAAACCTTATAGAGGCTCTGTTAGAAATGCAAGCTTTTGCTGATGTTCAAGCAGTTTTAGTAAAATATGATGATATAACCCTACCAAAATCAGCAACAATATGCTACACTACAGCCTTATTGAAAGCCAGAGTGGTTGCTGATAAATTCTCTCCTGATATAGCTAGTAAAAGGGGACTTAATCAAGCAGAGATGTCAGCTGTAGAGGCTATACATCGTGCTGTGGAATTTAACCCTCATGTGCCAAAATATTTGCTAGAAATGAAACCCCTCATATTGCCACCTGAGCATCTGCTGAAACGTGGTGACTCGGAAGCACTAGCATACACTTTCTTTCATTTAGCACATTGGAAAGCTGTGGATGGGGCTTTAAATTTGCTACATTGTACTTGGGAGGGCACTTTTAGAATGCTTCCATGTCCCTTAGAAAGGGGGCACTTATTTTACCCTTATCCTACATGCACTGAATGTGCGGATAGAGAATTATTGCCATCTTTTCATGAAATATCAGTGTATCCCAAGAAGGAATTACCGTTTTTTATCATTTTTACTGCTGGTTTGTGTTCCTTTACTGCTCTTCTTGCCCTCCTTACACACCAGTACCCCGAAACTATGGCCCTTATTGCCAAATCATTTTTAACTTGGGTCTCTCTACCTATGTATTTTATTTATGATAAAGTTGAAGGTTTACTATCCTCCAATCTTCTACAACAATTGTCTAGAATTTAGAAATTAAGTATTTAATTTATATGTACCAGCTACCTATGCTTTTAATTTATATTGTGTGATCCAAATTGTGTATGTCCTAACTGAAAAAAAGAATAAAGATATATTCCAAAAAATGGATTTTATTTATTTCTAAATTAAAAGTAAATTCACAATTTTATTTCAAATATACAATATTTGAATTTTTTTATTAATTAATTACTCTTAAAATCACTCTTTAACACTGCTTTTATCTTCCATTTCAACTTCTATACTCATATCAGTCTCATCAATAATCATGTCTGGTGCTGCAGAAGTTGAGTCTTGTGCTACACTTTGTCCAGCAGTTGTAGACGCCCTATTTTCAATGATAAACTTTGGAATTTCATCTGGCGCACCTAAAAATATTATGTAGTATACTATAACTATAGTTCATATAATCTTTTACAAAGACATCTAAAGATTTACATTTTTGTAAATTATAATGACCCTATCGCTAGGGTCTTTTTAAACCTGGCACTCTTAATAATAATAATCTTTATTAGTGCTAATACAATACCTACAAATTGTTTACATTTGTTAAAAAAAAATTAATCTTTTTGAGATGATCAAATTGTTTACATTTGTTAAAAAAAAATTAATCTTTTTGAGATGATCAAATTCTTATACAATCAAGTACAATATACGGGTCAAGGTCAAGGTGGAAAATTAGCTGTGCCAGCAAATAAATGACTAAATTCAGTTTTTCTTTAACAAATCAAGTTTTGTTAATACTTAAGTGTGTTTACGTTAACTATACCTAATATAATATAGTTCAAAAGTAAACCATATTCATTATTATTTATATAGGAAATAAGTACAAAAAATCATTTCGAGAACGCGTCCTAAGTAGCAATCTTTAGAAACAAACACCTGAAATAATTATAAAATAAAATAAATTTAACAGTTTTTCTCATTTATTCAATTCAATTTTATCTAATATCACCTAATTACAAGCATTATTAAAGAAAAAAAAAAGAAATGAAAGAAAATCAAGTCAAAATATTATGTCCAACAATGCAAGCATCATTTGAGTGAACGCTGTTTTGATTGTCCAAAAAAATTACGTTTTTGAACGCAGCCGTAATATGTGTATGGCACAGTTGTAGTCCTTTTTCTATGGTTGTAGTAAAAGGTGTAAACAACGTGGATGTCAAGTGCATTTTTCGCCAAAATAATTAAAAATAAGTGGTAAGTACCATTCGATCCCATAATTAAAGAGCGTACATAAATATATCATCATACCGGGAATGCGTTTATTAACTCGTAATATTGAAAAAATACGTTTTATAGTGTTTATAACAAATATTAACCTTAAATAATATACCTTAAACAAGCCAAACATGGCTGTCAAGATGACTTTCGTCTAAAAAGGGCGCATTTATTTGAAAAAGTCATTTTGGGAACGGTCATTTCGGGAACGTCCCCGGACTTGACGGAGCGTTCTTGAAATGACTGTTACTACTTTTTGTCAATTAATTTAGTGTATGTTGTCCTAAATAGTTTTAAATAAATGTTTTATTTTTTTAGGAAATATAGAATCTCAAGTTAAAAAAAAATTAAAAACGTCCAAAAAGACAACTTATAAAAAATAGTTTAGCTTACATGCAGCAAACAGAAAAAGCTAATGCCAGAAAAAGGAAGTTTTTAGATAAGATAACAGAGGAAGAAAGATACATTAAAAGGAGTAAGGATAGAGCATACTATCAGAAAAAAAAGCTGAAAGAAAGTTAAAAACATTGCTGAGATGACCGAGAGAAAAAAGCGAAAGCAGAGAAAAATTTGGAAAGAAGCATAAAAATACAGAGAAAAGAAGACAGCATTATTAAGTATAGTAAACAATACGATTTATTAAAATTTGGATAAATAGCCAAGGTATGTACTATGTACCAGTGGTGAGCACTATTGTAAACTGAACTATCAACTATCGATAGTGCTCATCACTAGTACATAGTTCATACCTTGGGTATTTATACAAATATTAAATCGGGTATATACCGGGTACGTGCCCATCACTGTCTGTATGGCATTTATAGTTACAACAAACGGAAAAAAGAGTTGAAAGAAAATTTAACTGAAGAAGAGGTAGGCAGGGGCGTACCGAGGCACACTTTGTTGGGGGGTGGAGACGATAAAAAAACCAACTTATTTTTTTATCGATACTTTAGTACCTAGTAATAGTAAAAATTTTCAGTAGTTTTATCATGAATGTTAAGTGTTGTAAAGTGTAGATAAAGAATGTCTTTACCTACCATTAGCATGCTCTTTTGAAGTCTCTATTTTTTTTATTTGCTACCAATGTAAGTGGATTATCCGGAACAGTAACAATTTTAATTTTAACCAAATTTCCACCGTGAATATTTTCCTCGTGCATTTTTTTCTAGTCCTTGTTAAACACAGATCCACATAATGAGCATTTTACTAGAACTCGGCCCGGTCTAGCTTTCTTTTCCATATTAAAAAAAAATAATTCATATTTATTGACACTAGTTTTACTTAGCTTAGATAAGCTTCAACTAATTAATAATTTAGAAAGACAAAGCCGCGAGGCGGTGCCGACTTTGTACATGCCGCTTGTGTGAAATATAATGTCCTTTAATAAAAATAAGCAGGGTTCCCGTTTGTCATAAAATTTTTAAATATCATAAAATTGTCCTAAAATGTCACAAAATTCACATTTTGTCATAGAAATCATAAAATTTCATTATTTTTTAACAATTTTCTCACCTTTGATCTTTTTTATAAAATGGAAATTTTGTAAAATAAAATTTAAAGCCGGTCCTGTAGAATAAAACGCAATAAAATGTTTTAAATATGGCCTTGGTTGTTGACGTATGAACTTCTTCTTCTTCTTCTTCAACTTAGGGCGGATTTATGGATTAACCACCGCCCTTGTGGTCCTGGACAAAAATCCTTATTAACCAGATACAAGTTTTAACGTCCAACGATTTCAGAAGACCAAAAACCATTGGACAACGGTTGTCTAACATATACACGTGCACACAATAGGTTATGTAACCTTAAAATTTATAATAGCTTTATATAAATTCCTCTTATCCCTTGTAAAAGGACTAATCGAGGAATATTATCGAGCACCAGGAATATCTCTATTCCGGGAATCCCATTTTGCCCCCCCCCTGGTGCAGAAGTCACTTATATTTCACAACTTTTTCATAGAGCAACCACATTCAACGGGATTCAAAATGGCACTCGTATGAACTTCATACTATGAAGGAAAAAGAAGTTAGGTTAGGAAATGAATTTTAAATTTGAAATAAATAATGAGAAAGGTAAATTTATTTTTATACTAGGTATATTACTTTACTAAGGAAGGCACAAAAAAAGACTTGAAGAAATTGATACTATTTTGGCAAGTAAGGAAGCAGAGTTAAAAATAACAAGAAATATGATTTCTGAAGGAAATAAGAAATTATCGAAGTACCTTAACAATAACTACATAACTACTCTTAAAAAATCTGTAATATTGGAGGCTCAAACAATGATTAACATGGGTCTAAAAAAGCAAAAAAAATAGTACCTATAGGTATATATAGGTATATATACTATTTTTTTCTGCTTTTTTGAGACCCATGTTTATCATTGTTTGAGCCTCCAATATTTCAGATTTGTATACCTTTGTGGTTTTATTTATTTTGAGATTATAATACCTATTAAAATAAAATACTAAAGTAATATATATTAAAAATATTATAGCAGAAATATTTATTTTGATGTGAGAAAAAATATTTATTTTATTAAATAACTTTAGAAATAATAAATTCTTGTCATAAAAAATGTAATAAAATTTGAAAAATTTGTCATAAAATCATAAAAAAAGTACAAAACAATGCTGGGAACCCTGAATAAGGTTGACCAATACAATTTTCTTGACGGTAACGATTATAGGAGGTTACAATAGATTAAAAATTATAATTTTGTAATATGTAGGTAAAGTTTAAAAATTATATTTCATTTTATTTATTGTGATGGGTTGGTTGGTAGGGTAGGTATACCCAACCAACCGACCCAAATACTATAGATTTTGCCAACCGTGTTTGGATTTGGAACCAACTGCCAAGACTTTGGGGGGGGTGACTCCCCCCCTACACCCCCCTTAGGCCCGGCCCTGGAGGTAGGTAATGATACAAATAAACTTGTCAGTGCGCAAATAAAATCCAGTCGACTCATTTCGCAAAAAATCAATTATCTATTCATACAGGCGTATATTATATACGAAACGTTGACAATGGTTTGCAATCTGGATCTTTTGCTACCCTGAGTGAAAATTTGGATCATAAAGCCCATGTGATATGGGCTCATATGAAACCGATCCTAAAACCATATTGGAAAAAAATATATTAACATCCTTCATATCTACTCGATAATCCAACATCACAATACCGCAACCGAACCAATAAACATATTTGAAAGAACTGAAAATGTCTGCGTTATCTGGCAGTTTATATCCGAACTCTGAACCAATAAATTTGGGAATACTTTCAAGGGAGTCTCCTGAACCGAACGAGCATATGGATACAACCGATGTACAAGATTTGCTGAAATTAAAGAAACGGAGCATTTATAAAACCATTGATTACTCATCATCGTCCGATGAGGATGATTTAATGTTTGTTTTTTTTTTATTATATACAGGGTGTCTGGGAAAAGGAGGTCAATCCGTTAACCATATATTCTTTGAGTTAAAACAATAAGACTTTCATAATACCATTTTTCAATTTAGAGCTTCATGTTCGGTATACAGGGCGACAAAGTTTGAAATTTAAAACTGATTTTTTTTAATAATTCAAGTAATTGATAAGATATTAAGTTTAAATTCGGTACACTACTTCAACATAAATAGTTACATTTTTTGAGACCAACAAAACAAAAAACAATTGTCAAATAATCAAAATAGGGGGGTCCAGTACTCACTGACTCCCCCTATTTTTTAGTACGTGCGCCAATGACTTCCAAACGGTATTTTTTCAGGTAATCATTTATTGTTGAAATCTTTTTGTCTCTTATAAAATTTTGATAAAATGATTTGTTTTAGAGATAATTTGTAAAGTATGGGTCAATCCATATCAAATTTTTGAAATTTAATTTTTTTTTTTGAAAAAATTTAGGTCCTGTGATATATCATAAAAAAGGTCTCTAATGGGCCTTTAAAATAAGCCATCACTCACCTTTCTACTTTTAATAGTTTACGAGATATCGCTATTTTTGTAAGTACCCAAATTTATCGGAATTTTTTGAGTTTCAAAAATCAATAAAACAAAAACCACCCATCGAAAAAAATTCATATATGGGATTTTTGAGTTTTTAAGTGAGGTAAATAAATTTTCCAAAAATTATCAAA